CCCCCGCCCAAACAGCAAACAATAACACACGCAACCACCCCCCCCACCCACCCCCCAAACAGCAAAAAAAAAAACACGACCCCTTACAAGAAGCGCCCTCACATTTTTGCTGAAAATCAAGCCACGGAGTGGAGCGATGAGGACCAAGCAACCCTAAGCCATGAAGCCCAAAACATGCCAAGCCAACAATCCTGAACCTAAACTACATTCCCCAACCCAGGCTTTCAAAAATCAAACCAATACAACCCTTCCAACCGTTGACATATGAACCCTGTTTCGCCTTCCAGCAGCGACTCTTGTTGCCGAACCTCGCGCAAAGAGCACGCATAAGTTTACATACTCTCCAGTCAGCGTTGGGGATCATACCCTCAACCATACCTCTTTAGCTATGGACCGTTCAGGGTGTGTGGAATCTGAAGGTCATCTTCTACATGAGTACTGGGAACAGTCTGGGCGGCGCACTCGCATTTATGTGGGTAACAGGCTGACCTGAACACAAGATCATATCTAGGTGATGGACGTGCAGATTCGATGCGAACAGCAAGAATCGTACAGGGTGGGGTTGGGTGTGATCTGAAGTTCTGTTTTCAACCTGATCACTACGCCCTAAACCCTAAAAGGTGGATTCATCTTCGGGTCCGTTCCTGAGATGGCGGCATCTGCATTCTCATGGGGCTTTTTGAATTTTCATAGTGGCCCCTTGGGCAAGAAACCTCTGCTGACTACTACATCACCACCGCCCTCACGCGCGGCCCTGTATATCACGAAGCTTTTCTTGATCATGCCACCTGCAGGGCATTCATCAAGTAGACCCCCCACCTCCCCCCATAATAACAATAGATACCCCAGTAGCTATGGCATCTTGATATACAAAAACGAACATTGCCGGTCTCAAGACTTGTCATGGCATGTTACATCAAGCGATGTACCACTTATCCAGCGTCACATTGGAATAGGGGCGTGTTTGTGTTGATTGAAGGAAGACGCTACCTGCACCCGAAAAGAAGGCTGCAACGACCATTATTCTATACGCTGGGGAGGCACGCCCAGACACTGTAACATTGCACAACAGCCGGAAAGTGTAACATGACGTCCCGGCAAACCAACAATGAGGTGTCGCACCTCTGCGCTGGGTGCTGAGAACAACGCATCCTGGCGCAAAGCTTACAGGGTTTGGGAAGTTTAGGAAATTTTCCCAATCCCGACCATCTAGGGGCAACCCTTGTAGCTTAGGCGGGGCAATGTGGGAACCACGTAGGTATAAAAGGTGAGGGTATACAAGTGCTGCATATGGCGCATGAGGCATCTGGATGAGGGACTGCTATCCCTGGGCCTAAACCCTAAACCCTAATAAACCCTAATAAGCCCTGAAGAGCCCTAAGACACCCTAATCAACCCCAATGAGGCCCAATGCACCCTTCTAAATCGCTACATAATTCCATGACAATTCAGGGAACTACATAGTCTAAACTCCTTGTATCCCCCTTAGTAACCCCTACAATAATTCCCTGTAGAATCCCCTATATAACCCCCTTTGAGTCTGAGTTTAGATTATGGCCCACATAGCTTCCATGACAATTCATGGAAGTACAGGAAGCACGCACCTCTATAGCCCCCCTTAAGTAGATAGAATATGGCGTTGGGCATATTATAATAAGATCCCCATATACCCCATATTCTATCTACTTAAGGGGGACTATACATCCTTTATCGGTCTTGGGGCGGTTTAGGGTTGTCTTGCTGATATGTCCCAAAGTCTTGCCCTCGCCTCGGGTTTAGGTTTTGAGGATCCCAACCTGAAATAGTGGTAAAGCTGGAATATGATGAGACCCGAATATAATCCTTATTCTCCTTTATAGTCACTATTGCAGGGTGGGGGATCCGCCTAAGGTTTAGTGTTTAGACTCTTCATAAGATATGCCCCGCAAGTATTCGAAGCTGGGGGACAGCGTTTTGCCACACCCTCCTCCAGTCTGTAAATGACCTTCGAGAAAAATGCTCCGGAAACTTAGATGCAACTATTGTCTGCGCGACCCACTTAGCCCTATGCAAGCCCTCGGAAATGCATGTGGCATAAGCTGGAACATCAACACGTAAAGACAGAAGGAGACAGTTGCACTTGCCCTTGCCTTGCTATTGCTATCGTCGTTGTTGTTGTTGTTGTTGTTCTTGTTCTTGTTCTTGTTGTTGTTGTTGTTGTTGTTCTTGTTGTTGTTGTTGTTGTTGCTGCTGCTGCTGGTGTTGTTGTTGTTGTTGTTGCTGTTGTTGTTGTTGTTCTTGTTGATGTTATTGTTCTTGTTCTTGTTCTTGTTCTTGTTCTTGTTGTTGTGGTTGCTGTTGCTGTTGCTGTTGCTGTTGGTGTTGGTTTGTTGTTGTTGTCGTCGTCGTCGTCGTCGTTGTTGTTGTTCGTTTCTACTATTTCTTAGTAATACGTGCTACTATTGATCCCCTCTCCCTAATACTAACCCACCCTAAAATCAAATACTCCACCTAATATGAGATTTTGGGAGTATTTCATATTAGGGGGGCACGGGGCATTCAAAACCTAGGGTGAGGGGATTAACTACATCAGCCCTTCTTGGGATGCCCATCTCCTGCGCGCCAGCCAATACGGAGGCACGATCACGGGGTGCCTTGTTTTCATGGCATGGCCGTTTCTCACAGGAGTCCTACTGCAGATGCAGAATTGTTGCACCTATATGAACTAATGTCTAAACTCCTAGTATCCCCCTTAATAACCCCTATAGCAGTCCCCTACATAATCCCTATATAACCCCCTTTAAGGAGTTTAGACTATAGTGCATATAACCCCAATAATCGTACATCCTGTGCTTTGGCCGTAGTAAGTGATGCAAGATTTTCTCCATCCACTGCGGGTATTTGGTTTAGGGTTTAGGGTTTAGGGACCTCCATCCACTGTGGGTATTTGGTTTGGGTGGGTGCCCTTTCAGTCTCCTTTTACTGCCGCTGGCCTTCAGAGGGAAAGGTTGTCTTCGCATCAGAGTAGGAACAAACTCATGATCACAAACAAGAACCCTGGCCATTAAATCCTAAACCATACCTAAACCCCAGAAGTATGAACAAATAATAGCCTTAAACCCATAATAACAGCCGTGAAGGCCATTATTCTACATACTTTTGGGGTCCAGGTAATAGTTCTCACAGCTTCCCCCCAAGCTGGACTCGTACATTCCCGTCATGTGTCCCTCAGATCACCGCGGGTATGCCCTTGCTGAAAATGTCACCTGTAAGTCTGTATTAAAACTAGCGATACTTTGCGATACCGACAGACTAAAACCACCACCCCCACTTGAGGCCTCTGGAAGTTAGGGATACGGTGGCGTCCTTATGTAGGGACTATCGTATATGGCAATATGTAGAGAACCCATCCCTATACCAACCAAACCCTTTATTTGAAGCAGCTTATGCTTGCAAACCCGCGCTTTGAAAAGAGAACCTGGTTCCTGTAGTCTCCTCGGACCTACATTTTCTTTGAATGTGTTTCTATTCTTTGGGGTTATACTACAATAAAAAATGTTAAAACAAATCCTAAGGACACTACAGGTTCTCGGAAGGCCAGAGATGCCAGTTCCCCACAACGAGCTTTTTGAGGGAAACCCATCTTGGCTGTAGAACAGTTGCCTAAAACCCTGGTTCCCGGAGCTCTTCCTGACAGGTTTGGGAGCTTTAGGTGGTTTTGTTGAGAAATACGTGGTAGTTTCCCTAAATTACTGTTCCCAAAATGGGGTGTTCCCAAAATGGGGGAAACTTATATGGGGTCCCGTATTATAATGGGAACCCAAATATAAGACCCCGTATTATAGGGAATTTAAACCAATCCCCACGTGCTTATCTAAGGGCTGCACTGCTGCTTCGCCAGCTAAGTCCTTCGAGTACACAGAAACTTTCCCATCGCGCCTCGGTTGCATTGTTCCGTGTACAGCCATTGTAGGGCTTAGGGTTTCGGGTTTGGGGCTTTGGTCAAATTAGGGCTTAAATTCGGGCTTGGGGTCTGTGGAGTTTGGGAATAGAGGTATCTGGTGACCCCAGCCATGACAATGCGAAGGCCGCGACCCACTGTGCAAAGGGAAAAAGAAATGCACGCAGTGCTTGACCGGATTCATTGGCAGCTTGCAGGATCAAATTGCGGTGTGTCAGTGGGACTACTAGGGCTTATTCAGGCTTATTGGGCCTTGTTGGTTGGGTTAGAGTTTAGGGTCTAGGGTTCAGGGGTTTGGGGGGCGCATACTGGGTGAGCCCATGATAATCCTATGATAATGTAGGGGTGTGTGGGGTTCACATCCTCACATGAAAATAACCTACACTGGGCTTATGCAAGGCGGGCTGCACGTAGGCGTTTAGGGCACGTATACTAATACATACCCATATGAGCTGTAGTCTAAACTCCTAGTATCCCCCCTAGTAGTAACCCCTATAATACTCCCCTATATAATTCCCTACATAACCCCCTTTAAGGAGTTTAGACTTTATTTCATATCAGATCGTATGGGTTTTAGGCGAAATTGATGTGTAGCACATGCCTGGTTTGTACATGTCTCTTGTAGCGGGGTCTCTTCTAGTCTCACTTAGGGCTTAGGGTTTAGGGTTTAGGGTTTGAGGGTTTAGGGTTTAGGGCTTAGGGTTTAGGGCTTAGGGTTTAGGGTTTAGAGCTTAGAGTTTAAGGTTTAGGGTCCATGGCCCACGGTCACTGCATTGATACCCGAGTGTACATGCCCTAGGTGTGATTTACCTTGGCTAGACTCGGATTAGAGTAATCCTTCCATCACATAATGCACCCCCGCACGGCCCAATAGTAAACCTCCTCAAGAACATAATACGACTCTGCATGAAGTGGGATATGGGCTATTAGGTGCTATCGCTAGGGCGGAGTGGTATGGCATGTATGGGTCTGGGCGTCATCGTCACTTGTACGTTGCCTGAACACACTCATCTGAGGATCACTGACTACCTACAGGCGTACACTCAAAATGATCCAAATTCGTTCAGGAGCACCTAGTTTTTGGAATGGAGGCTAACATAACTTGCACACAGAGTGAGTATCAGCCTGTAGATATTCTGCTCTAACCCATGCCACTCCAAGATCAGCGCATGGGTCGCTGTCTGGCTTGCCTGAGACGCGGGCTCAAATTCCAGCAGATACTTCTCGAACCCCGGTCCCCGCGACATCTTCTCATTAGTCAAAGGGACCGCAAACAAGAAAAGCAATTTCTAGAACCTCCCACAACAGTAGTTAGTCTTTTCTTTCATGAGCATGAACCGCATGTCCTGACTGTGTGTCTCAGCGAAACCGCTTTCAGCGTGTGTTCAGCTCCCCACTCTGAGTTAGTTTTTGCTGTGCCGCTGAGGCAGCCGCTTGAACTGAAGCTCTTTGTCTTCAGTGCCAGCAGTCCGCGATGTGCCCGGAGTAGCAAGTTTCGAATGTAGCTGGTTGTTGCACGATGTGGACATGTATCAGCTCGGATTGCAGTAGCTGACTCGGCCAACGCTTACGCCTATTGCTGGGATGTTCGCGGGGTGGGGGGTGCGGGGAAGTTGACTACTTGTGGTGCAAGCATGTTGCATGTCAATGCGCGATTGATTTGCGCATAGGCATCAAGGAATGGAGTTTGCAGGCAAGAAGTGAGCCTAAAAGGGCTGCAGTTCCGAGCAAGATCTTCTTTCCCACGACAACGGCACAAGTACTGGATTGCAACTCTTTCCACTCCTGAAATGGTAGAAACATTCGGATACCGTGAATCTGCCTAGACGATGAGTGGGAATGACAACTGCCAACGGCAAGAGCAGTCACCGAACTAGGAGCCATCGTGCAGGTGGTACAAATCACAGGCATCAGAACCCGCGTGACTGAGGTAGTCTATGGCTTCAGGCCTTGAACAACGCGTGAAAAGCTATTCATCAACACCCTACTAATACCTTCGATTGCGGATATAAGGAAGGCCCCTAATAGCGCGTAATTAAGCCCTGATAGAGGCTACGCGGAGGGTCTACCCGAAACCCTAAATCCTAACCCCTATGGAGGGTAGGTGGAGGGTCTTGGCAACAACAACCCATCTGAGACCAAGAGCCACACCCCGGTCCCGACCGCGAAAGAATTCCCGGCCAAACCTGGCAGAGGCCGATCAATGGTTTA